TAACGATCTTCGAAAGCATGCTAAGGCCACCGATTAAGTTTTAGACGTTGCATTTCAATACGATAATCGAATACCTTGGCCCGATTGTCTCGATCCTAGTTGCCTTCGCAATCATTTACAAGGATTTCTTTGACCGTCGGAAATGTTTGAGAACGCGATGTTACGCAATCATTCGTTGACGCTTTACAAGTGTGGACAAAACAAAAAAAAAAGGAACTGATTTCTCTTACGCGTATGGCACTGTAAAACGGAGAATCGATCCCGTGATCGCGTTAAAATCTTATACGTTATTCAGACAATGAACAATGCGTATTTCAAAAAACGAAACAGCCTTATATTCTCGATTGACGCATTTTATCGCGAAAAGCGTGTACACTTTCGTAGAAATGACCGCTTAATAGTAAACGAGATTCTTCCCAGTACATTGTATGTATGTTTGTATGAATATATATATATATATATATTAGATAAATACGTTACGAGTGTCGGAGAAATAAGGCATTAAATTGCGAACAATTCTTTACACGCGTCCATCGAGTAATATAATTTACTCTAGTAAATTATTACTAAGACGAGGCGTAATTAATATGATTACGTTATATAGTCGAGCAGATCTTTGTTTCAGATCTTTGTTTTCATAGGTCTTGCTCGAGCTTCGAAAAACGAAGTCAACAGAGTCTAAAAGTAATCCGTCGTTTGTATAGGTAAATCGACAAAATAATGTTACTCGATCCATAGTAATCGAGCATTGAATGGACGCGATAAGCTAGTATCGAATACGCTAAGCGAATGAGACGACACGTAATTTGCCACACTCGGTTTAAGAATCATGAGCGTACGACTCGAATTGTAATCGATGTCTATCACTTGCATTTACTCTTACCGTCGAGTAATTTTTTCCATAGATCGAACTGTTCGCTATACTTGACCATGTGTATACTGATACCTCGTTGAATATTACACGCACTGTACGATATCTTTTTGTTTAAAAATTCGTTGGCATGCGTCCTCTTAATCCCTAGCTTGTCTGCGACGATTCCAGTCACAAAGACGTCTTCGAGTTTGAGATACGTTTGATCCAATGCAGCGTTGTACAGTTTGCGTATAATGTCGCTGGACAGCAGATATGCCGGACCAGTAGTGAAATCTGGGAAAGCGGCGTGCTTAAACTGCGTTCGCGAGACGTAGTACTTGCTTTTCTTATTCCTAATCGGTTTCCACTTCTTCGCAAGTCTACCGAATATCACGTTTTTGTCCTTCGCGTGCTTCATCGCGAAGGCTTGTAAACGTGGAACGTTGATAAACATGTCGTCGTCGGTCTTTAAAAGAAATTTAACCTTGGAACAATAACTATCTACCCATTCCAGGGTAGAAATCGTTTTCAGCGTCAAGTTAGAATAGGAATCTAAAAATTGTCCTCGTATCACGTCGTTATAGGTTTTTTGTTCTCTTCTTAAAATTGTTTCTACTTTAGGGTCCAGCGTCGTACCCAACATGAACAGGATACTAATGTCGCTTCTCTGACCAAAGTGTCCCCATGTTTGTCGTATCGCCATTCGAGCCTCCAGATGAGTCGGTGCGGACATTACTATTATAACCAGATCCATATCTTTGCCAAAGTTCGGGCACCTTTCCGGAATTGGTACGGCGTGACCAGCTTGATAAATAATACGCGCGGAGCATTCGTTGGAAATCGTGGAAGGTTCTTTAGTTTCGTTCGAAGTTTTTTCTATTCTTGGTAGAGGTTTCTCGCTACTTTTCTTTGAACCAGAGATTGATACGCTTGCCAAAAATTGAGTTTGAGAGCTTGAGGATGTCGACGAGGTTGTAACCACAGGGCTTGAAATGTTGTTGCTTTGTAAATTGTAAAGAGGGGCAGCCAAGGCCTCAGAGGAGGCATTTTTTGGTAAAACTGCCATATGTTGTTCTATGCTTGTATTTGTTCGTTGCTTGATAATCTCTCGATACGCAGAGTGACCTATACAACGATAAGGCACGTTTAGTATACTTATTTTATATATTCGGAGAGTGTAGAAAAGAATAAGAAACAGTACTCACTAATATTCCGGGGTACAGCATACTGAGGGACATCGTAATAAGTAGTGCGGTAATATGCATAAAATGTTAAACCAATCAATCCTAGAATAAGGGTTTGCAAAGGACGACTACGAAGATGCAATAAATGATGCATGACGACTGTCTCGCTGTCAGCTTATTTTCCGGAATCAATGTCCCTCGATCTACATTGTTGTAGATCGATTATCATCCAACGAATCGAATGATAGTTGGTCCCTCGCGAATCTTCTCAAACGGCACAGTGACGAAAATATTTTCGGAGCGAATCGAATGGTATTCCGACGAACAGGTTACTTCCATGTTGCTTCGCTCGAAACGGCGATTCCCGAAGCAGTCGAATTCTCTCTTGGCTGTTCAGTTCTGATGTTGAGCATGATTGGACCAGATGGTAGATTGTCGTCACTCGAATTCGCTCTACGCGAGTTTCGTGTTCACTGTCACTCGATGTGTGTCAATCTCTCACGCGTCGGCATTATAATTCGGCACGCGTGCGTTCCTCGCTTTCCTCGAAAAAAAGCATACACGTAACCGTATACGCAGTCAACGTAACTTCGTCCTTCCCATAAACGCACAAGGATCGTCACTAATACGAATATTAATTAGTGTCTCTGTTCCTTGGTTGCCATGATATCGATAAATCTTGTATCGATGCCATCGCGCTCTCGATCACCACCAATCATCGTCGATTTCACTGAAAATCTCGTCCTGTCTCGCAGCGTCCTGTGTTATCTCGACTCTACTCGATTGATCTCGATGGCTCTCGATTCAGCGATTGACCATCGTGGTTTTCTCTAGAACCTTGCTCTTTTTCCTCAGAGATGTCGTTAACATCATGTTATTGTAGCGATCTCCTCGACAAAGTATGGAACGCCCACCAGATGGCAAAAAAAAGATTTCTCCTCGAATTTCCTTCTAATTCATTATTTTACAGAAAAATCGATTTAATTTTCTTGAGATATGCATCGTACAAGTATATCTAGGGATTTTAAGATCGGTTGAACGAGACCTCTGATGGCGAATGCCGAAAGTGTCGGTACGACTGTGCAATTCCCTGTAGGGAAAGTAAAATGATCGCAGTCACGAAAACTACGTTTATCTTTACTTCATGGACAATGTCATTCTAATCTCTATGCTGTTTATAAACAACTTCTCGTATGAAGTAAATAGGGTACTTCGTGACATCGCGAGTATACGAACAAGAAATATAGGAAAAAGGATAGTAGATAGGGGAAGGAATGAAAGTTGAAAAACAGAGGAAATCACGCAGAATGGTTTTGTTCGCGAATTTGAGATTGCAGCTTAATAGTTAGAAGTACGAGAGATCGATCGATAACCTATTTTTCCGTAGCTGGCACAACGCCAGACTTTCGGGGCAATCGCGCTGACTCTGAGAAAGCGAATAGCCGTAACCTCGTCCTAGGTCACGAATGTTTTCAAAGTTGCAGGATGATTCCGATGGACTACGTGAATATCCAGAAGAAAAGTACAATAGACAACACGAGATCGACTTATTCATATTTTAGTCGACACGGCCAGCCAAGGGCTTACGAGACAGTAGTCCTGTCATTTGTCGCATAAAAAGAGATTAGCAGTTGTATAATTGCACGAGCTCTTGAGCACGCGCCTCAGCAATTAACTCTGGCAAAAACACGAACGCTTCGTAAATAATTTCGTTTATCCGAATTTTTTTAGAAGCAGACTTTTTTCCGACCGCGGTGATTTTTAATCGTGTGCCAACGAATTAATTTTATAATTTGAATTCTTTTGAATTTAACATGCCAAGAAGGTTGATTAGAAATAATAGTATCTAACATCCGCTTTCAAAAATTTGGTTGTAGCAGTTTCGCACGAGCATACCTCAGCAGAACATGGAATATAATGTTACGATGTGCTTGTAAATATTCGTATTATTAATGTACTCGATATCAAGGATTTTACCTTGTAAATAAAGTGTTATTGTTATTATTATTACGAGTAAAAGTAAGATATTACGAGGTGTAGTCGACGACATCGGATGTCGAATCGCTAGCGGTGGCAGTAGCGTCGCAAGTCGCGACTCATTCCGGGAACGACCACCATCGACAACCGCGCGCAACCGATCGATGGCCCACTACCACTTCGCTCCTGCCTAGATACTACCCTTCTTACACCATCCCCTACCGCTGGTTACCCCTTCTACAAATCCACGCCATTCTCCATTTCGACTCCCCCTTCTAACTTATTTTCCCCATTCTCACCCCTTTCGCTATTCTGCTCATTGCCGATTTACCAATTTCACTTTCATTCACCGATCTCTCGTCGCACATACGAGTTTACTCTCCTTTTGCCTTCGTCCAATAGCGTCTCAACGTCGAATCGAACTTTCAACATTCTCTTAGAATTCTCTTCCTTTAGTTTCGCGGCTCTCCCTTTTTTTATTCGTTGCAATCCAATTTTCGGAGCCGTTTTTCATCGCTTGACCCATCGGTTTTATTCTTCGTCGTGCTTGTTTTCGTTCTTATTTTCTCTATTCCCTTCTTCCTCGTTCTATCGAGCACAGTTAGGCTGCCTTTGTCACTGCGAGAGTGCCTCTCGAGTGGCGTCGGCGTCGGCGTCGTTCAGGGCCGTTTCTAAAGCACTTGTCGCCCAAATGCTATTTCAAGTTTGCCAAATTTGTCGAGATTTTCCTTGATCTTGATTAATAGTTTGGACAATTGCCTTCCCGAGAGATTTTTTTTTCTATCCAATTTAAATTTAACGACTCGAAAAATTCAGTCCGGCTGGGGTCGTATCGTCTAACAAACTCTAAGAAATTTTTCAATCGAACGAGTCGTTGCTTTCCAATAATTCGTTAATTTTGTAAAGGCTGGTTTCCGTCTCTGCTACCCCTAGGTGACTGCCACCCGCGTGGCACCCCTTGTATCCACGGCACCGCTCGCGCCTGGTCGTCGGTATCGTCTCGGTGGTTGGTCAGTTGACGAGCAGAGGCGGTCGAGTTAAGTTCGACGCGATCGTCGAGAGTTCCATCCCGTCCGAGTACCGGAAAAACGAGAGCACCACCGTTGACGGGAAAGGAGTTGACAACGAAGGAGGAACGTTCCTCGAGTGCGTTCTGGAGCGCGATATACACGAGCGCACGATGAGTTGCCGACGTTCAGGGTCATCGTGGCCACACGTTGCTTGAAAAAAGGTTGGTTTTTAGCTGGTTCGTATAATAACGATCGCGGAAGCTATAGCGCGCGCATGTACGAAAGAGAGCGAGAGAGCGAGGAAAAGAGTGCTTTCGTTCCAGCAAGTAGAATCGTCGTGGAAATCCTTCGTTGCTCCTTGACACACCCAAAACGTCGTATGCAAATGCAAGCTCGAAGCGATCGTCGAATTCGAGTTTTGGTTTGCTTCAAATCGGCCAGGTGTCTCGGATGTTTCGAGCTTTCTGAAAACGTGACCACGCGCTGAAAAAAAAAAAATAAAAGAAGAAAAGAAATGAAAGACGCGCGTGTACGAAGATTTCGTCGAGATCGCAAAATCTTTCCCGGAGCATTTTTTACGCGGAAGGAAACGTACTCCGCGATAATCTGACGCTAGCACGATCGAAGCGTGGCGCAGAAGCGAACGATACTCGACGATAGCGAGGCAGTCGCGTCGACGAATATTTATTTATCTGTTTAGTAGTCTGACACGAGAACGAACCCCTGCTCGGTACAACGTGATAGAGAAAAATGTATGTGCACAGGAGGCGGGCAAAGTAATGTGAAATCCGTGGAATAATACGCTATTTTATCAGTTCGAGTGTGGGCCACCATTTGTATCTAACCCCTTCGTGCCTGCACCTGGATGCGGTGATGATCTTTTTGTATGCGATCGTCGTACGATTGTTTGATCATTAACAAATTGCGCTGAAAATGATCGAGGATGGTGTGCCAAGCTTCAAGAATAATCTTTGAGATGAATACACACAGCTGATACCGTGACAACCAGACTACTGATCTTATGCATATACGACGTACAGCAATACAGAAAACATAGAAAAAATATACATAATGTACTTTGAATATATCTTACAATTAATATAACAAAATTTGTTGTATTCGTTTGCGTCGTAAATGCATAAAATTCGTAGTCGCACAGCTGCGACTCTTGCCGGAATAAATTCGTGCGATTTTTGAATAGTTTCCCAGTGGAATGTCAACTCATTTATACATTTATACATACATATAAGAGACGTCATTCAATTGCTTTGGAGTAGTTAAAGGAGGGGAATCCGTTATTCGTTTTGCTCTCAACAACTGCCCACAGTTTTGGTTTTGGTTTGATGACATTTAATTCAGGTGATTGTGTCGGCCAGGGAAAATGGTGAAGTTCGTTTCGGTGTTTCTCGAACCGTGACTGGACCTTTTGGGCTGTGTGCACGGGCGTGTTATCATTTTGATGAATCTCTGTCGGAAAACAATGCGTAGACCGTTTCACGAATCCGATCGTGTATTACTCGCTGATAGTTGAAGAGCAGTTGTACTATTCTATTCTACTATTATTATTATTCTCTGAGTACTTTGTTTCTCATCGACAAGAAATTGGAAAGATTCTATTTTCTTGGAATCTTGTAGGTTTTCGAACCTATTCTTGCTAAATGAAACGATAGATAGGTGGATAGATGATAAAAGAGATATAAGAAGAATGATAGTCGATAAAAGCTACTCGTTGGGAGCCAATAAGCACTCCACGGAAGCTAAAGAGTAGAGAGATATTCGATTTGCCAGCGATACTTTATCGGGATAGACGCATAATCGGTTTTAGCGTTTGTCCGATCGCTATACACGTGCTTCCTTTCTATTCGTCGATCAAAGAAGAGGTGATCGAGGTCAGGACCTGTTCGCGACGTTGTCGACTTATTTCCTACGAGGATAAAGGAAAACGTACAAAGATGAGAAGAAAGCACTCGTCGACCTTTCCGTCGCGATTTTCATCGTTCCTCCGTCGGGCTTTTTTTCGTCGGACATGTCACCGTCGTAGAAAGGGGATAGGGATATGGAGAAGGACGAGGAGGAGGCGTAGAGGGAAGCACGTCGAGCCAATCTAATCAGAAGCGAGTCAACATGCCGAGGAGGGAAAGTTTATACATATTCCAATGCCGTCGTTCCAACTAAATGTCGTCAAAAGTATCCGTGTTTGCATTGTTTCGGTTAATCGATCGGTTCGTCGCTCGTTTCGAGTTATCGCTATTTTTTTCCACGTTGACGGAGATGGTGGACAGCGATTAGCCACCCTGCAATTACTTTTATAGCGTTTCTACATAATTGTCGGATTAATAGTCGTTCGTAAATTACGTTCCTGTAATCTGTACGATTCGTAACCGTAATCACTGATTACGTTTTCTCTGGGAGTATAGTAAAGCTGAACCACAGAGATATAGATAGAGAAATGGAGTCCTCGTCTACCAGCGCATTTTTCTACCATTTTTATGATGATGATAAATGGTTCTTTCTAACCAGTGGGACATTTCCATTAACAGGCAAGCCCATGTGTCCCCTGCTCTATCTACATATAATATCTCTATGGTTTGAACACGCTCAATATTTGTGCACGAATACGTGGTTCGTCCCGATTTGCCGTGACCACCGACGTCTTTAAGCCCTTATTTACTGGTGGGACTTACAAGTCGCGGGACTGTATCATTTTCTGTCGAAGAAACGCTTTGAAACCAATTGTGACTTTCAAGTCCACGTCTACGAAGTTCGTTTTTCAATTGTCGAACGGTAGCACAAGTGTTCTTTTTTTCTTTTGGAAGCTTGTTAGAGACAACTCTATAAGATCAAGATGGATGCCTAGATTTTAAATACTTTTGAGAAATAAAGGTTCGAACGTAACTCGATCGTAGTTCGCGCGATCTTGATCTTCGATGATCTATTACGCTAAAATAATACCCGCGATTCAAGTTTCTCTTGCTGGACGAGATGTTTCGAGCGAAAGCTCGTCCTCGTCCAGGTAGCACGCGCTTGTAACGGTGCGGTACTGTACGGCACGAATCGATCTACTTATTTACGTCGTTCCGTGACTCGATGCAGATACTGCTACGGGGGATGGAACGTACGTGTGCCATGTATATATGTATGTACGATCCCCCGAGAAACGAATTTTTTTATCGAATCCGTATTATGGAAAGTAGAACGTATGCGCTCAGATCGATGGTTCTTAATCTTTTCCAAGCCTACGGCACTGTTCGGTAACGCGACGGCAAATCAACGCTAATGCGTATTTATAACTTTTCTGGTGTTAACGACACGTTCGAATCGATTTCGACGATAAGGTACGAATTTGATATGCTTTCTTCTATCGTTTCTTTATTCCTCGTTCGTTTCAAACTGTTGAACACACGCGCGACCCTACTTTACTTTACTAACCGTTCCAATCTGTGGCGTGCACCTGATATTTTCCCAAGCAGCCATTAACCCTTCGAGTCACGAATGTTTCTATCCGAGCGATCTTGCAGAAAATCAGTGCCTGGAACTTGGCGCGTCGATTACGTATCCGAAGTCGCAGCTCGAAAAGTAAAACCGGACCGTGCGATGTAGCAATTGTTAGTCGATAATTCCAACTCGACGCGAGCTGGAATGTTACACGAACTAAATTTCGTCCGTCTTCGATGGGAGCAAACGTTGCGATTAAATCGTTATACAACGTATCGATCCGTCATCCATTATTCGAATAAAGTGCTGCCCATCGGCGAGACGAAGCTTCGCTCTTATTCGAAGCACGTGCAGGCTATTTATGGCACGAAGATTGTGAGAAAATGGACCGACGTGAAAGCACCGTATCGTTGGAAAATGACAAGACGTATGTACATCCGCGCGAACGTGAAACGCAAAGTAAGTCGCGAGCCCCGAATTCGGAGCTCGAACTCGAACTCGAGCGGGCCATCCGACGCGTCGCGACTTATCGACGTTGCGCCAGAAATATTTGCATATCTGGGTTAGACATTAAAGCCCGTATACGGGTTGTCGAGTAGCGTCCAGACAAATTGCGTCGAACTCGGCACACGGCAGCCCTGGGCGAGGAAATAATTGTCTCAGCCTCTCCTTTTTTCTATTTTTTTTTTTCTTCTGCGACGTTATTGAAACAGGTCGCAAACTTAACAGAAACTTTGCGAAACGACTTTGCGCGAATCGAAGAATTGTCTTCGCTCGTTTGCATAAAATGGAAAAAGTTTCAATAGAAGGGCAGATGAGAATTCCGCTTGAGCTCACCGAGGATAACGAGAGGTAACGATTAGGCCTGGCCTTGTGGACTAAAGAAAGGTTCTTCCATACAAAGAAGGGTGACCATAGAAAACCAGGAATAGACCTTGACCAGTCGAAACATCGATTCTACACGTAAAGATGGTTTTAGAAGAAAGGACCATACGTTGTTCAAGCAATGAAGGACATCTTTAGCTCGACCTGCGAACCTCTTCTCGGAGCGGCGTGTTCTCGAGACTTGGCACCGTTTGATTACCACCTGTTCCGATCACTTCAGTGTTGCTTGGCCTTGAAACGTGGAGGAAAGTCGTCGACGATGGAGAATACTCGAGTGACTGGGCACGTTTTCAACGGTGCACAACTCTAATGATAGTTTTTATACGTAATTCGGTGCGTTGTCATCGATCTGCTAGCGCGGGGTTTCTCGAACATGGGAATTCTACTCCGAAAGGATTAAATATGTACTTTTCGACCTTGGAGAGCAAGATTGATTCGTAAAGTTGGAATTGGTTTGATCGACAGATATCGAGGACGGACTCGTGATCAAGCTGGAACACTAGGCCCCCACGCGGGAGGTCTGTCCTAGGGGAGCAGGATGATAGATCCCAGTTCGTCGGAAGAGAGCGACGAAGAGAAGAAGGACGCGAAGGATGTCGGAGGCGGTGGAGCCGGTGGAGGAGCCCGCGGTGGGAGCGGTAGCTCGTACGGGACTCGTCGTCAGATCGGTCCAGGTGGAGGCCTCGGGGGCGCGAGCGGTCCCGCGTCGGGAAGCGTCAGCTCCCTGGCCTCGGGACTGACCGCGTCGCCTGGAGGATCGAGTCACGGCCCCATCGGGACTCCTCGCGCCGGTACCGCTGGCCAGGATGGCTCGGGCCACGACTCCAATCTCTCCGCGGCGAGGAACTCGTTGTCGCCGTCGATGTCTGCCGCGCAGGACGCGGCCAACTACTCTCAGAGGCCCAACAGTCCCTCGCCATCGGTCGCCAGCGAGAAAACCGACGCGGATCCGCAGGTAAGAACACCCGTTTCGTCATTCTTCCTCCGTTTTCAGCCTTCTCCGATATTCTTATAGTCGTCGAAACGAGATCTGTACAAGAAGATGCTCAGTGGTGTCTGCTCTCCTTAAAATCTAACGCACAGAATAAACTCTAAACTATGAATCCCCTCCCCTCTACGAATCGTTGGCATCCTCCAGTGAAATGTGCTACCAAAACGACCCAGCTTTTACGAGATCGTAAAATTCCTTCCATCGGCAAGTTTCGCTACGTATTATCGCGTTTCGCAGGACAAACAGGAGCGTGAAGAGGAGGAGAGGAAAACTAGGATACAGTTGTACGTGTTCGTATCGCGGTGCATCGCGTATCCGTTCAACGCCAAGCAACCGTTGGATATGACGAGGCGTCAGCTGAAGGTGACCAAGCAACAACTCGAGACGATATCCTCCCGGTTTCAGGTGATTTCATTAATCAACGGGATTAGAGTCGAATCGAGTCGCCTGCTCGCTATCGAAGGCCGTCCTTTTTGGTCTCGTCGCGATCGCGACGAGTGCGTAGAGACAGAGGGGGCGCGAGAGGATTGGTAAGAAACCTTTCGAGGGAGACCTGATGCGTTTAGGAAGCCGTACGTATTTTGTCTTACACTTGAATATCTCGTGCACGATTAACCTTCGCCTTTGTGACTTAACCGGATCCTCGCCATTCGGCTCGATTCGATTCGATTCGATTGGAATTCGCGAGCGATATATGTAGCTAAGGGATGGTGTTTCTTTACGGTTCGCAGAGTTTCTTAAATGGCGAAACGCAGATAATGGCCGACGAAGCATTCCACAACGCTATAAAGAATTACTACGACGTATTTTTAACGTCGGACAGAGTGATCGAGATGGTGCAAGGGGGTGCTTGCTCTCAGCTCGATTTCCGCGAGGTATTCAAGAAGAACGTCGAGATGCGTGTTCGACGCCTCCCGGAAATCGATGGGTTGAGCAAAGAGACTGTGCTTACGTCCTGGCTGGCCAAATTCGATTGTATCATGAAAGGTACGGGTGACGAGGAGACCAAGAGGCCCTCCAGGATGCAACAGCAGTCTTTGATTTCGGACATGATACTGTCCAAGGAGCAGTTGTACGACATGTTTCAGCAAATCCTTGGCATCAAAAAGTTTGAGCACCAGCTTCTGTTCAACGCCCTCCTGTTGGACTCAGCCGACGAACAGGCTGCCGCCATCAGGAGGGAGCTGGACGGTCGTCTTCAAAGAGTGAACGAGATGGAAAAGGTACAGTCGTATCTCTTTCTCCGTATCACACGGTGCTTGGAAATCCCACAAAGCTGACCGAACGCTGTTTCCGTGCTTTCAACTCCGATTTTAGAAGTAGCATTGTCGGTTAACGACTGGAGTATCGCGCGCCGTCGACTTTTGCGTTGTCAACGTTTGCGTTTTAAGCTAGAATCACTGGTTCCAGTGAGGGGCGATGCGCAGTAGATAGTATCGGTGACAGTTCTGGATAAGGTATACCGATATTCATGTTTAACCTTCAGGAGTTATCTACAGGAACGTCTCGAACATTGGATCTGTTAATAATACTACTGTTTCAGGAGATTAATTAAGCTAGGAATGAAGGCTCTGTACCGTGCAACTGTTTTACCGATTTTAACCAGCTTTCTGGAATTTTCGACCACCGTGCGCCGCTACAACCCTCTTCGTGTTTATCCGCCACTCACCGCAAATCTCTCTCACTGCGCAGAATCGCAAGCTCATGCCCAAGTTCCTGTTAAAAGAGATGGAGTCGCTCTACATCGAGGAGCTTAAGTCGTCTATCAACGTCCTAATGTCTAATTTGGAGCTGTTACCAGTTTCTAAGGGTTCGATAGACAGCAGATACGGACTGCAGAAGCTGAAGCGCTACAATCGTCGTGAGCGCTCCCGCTGCCGCGGTCAGGGGTCTCTTTCGAAATTGGAGAGCGACTCCGCCGATTCTGAAACACAGTTGACCAAGATGGACGTAGGCCTGACTTTCCAGTTGGCCGTAGTCGTAATCGAGGTCAGGGGCTTGAAGAGTTTGCCACCGAACAAAATTGTTTACTGCACGATGGAAGTCGAGAGTAACAAGCTGCAGACTGATCACGCCGAGGCCTCCAAACCTATGTGAGTAGCCACCTTCGGCTCGAAAGCGATGCGATCGATCGATCCAATCGATCGCCTAAGGATATTTTAACCTTCGTCGAATCGAATTGAATCACAGGTGGGACACTCAAGGGGATTTCACGACCATGCAACCGCTACCAGTGGTCAAAGTTCGTCTTTATACAGAGAACTCCGCCATACTGGCGCTCGAAGACAAAGAACTGGGCAAGGTTATCATAACACCCCCGTTTGCTCCCAAACAACCAGAATGGTATCGAATGACCGTCCCGAAGAACTGTCCCGATCAGGATCTTCGAATAAGGATCGGTTGTCGAATGGACAAGCCTTTCAATATGAAGCACTGCGGTTACCTTTACGCGATAGGCAAATCCGTGTGGAAGAAGTGGAAGAAGAGGTACCACGTGCTGGTGCAGGTCTCGCAATACACGTTCGCCATGTGTTCGTACAAAGAGAGACGAAGCGAGCCGTCGGAGATGATGCAACTCGACGGATATACGGTCGACTACATCGAGCAAGATTCTGCCAATATGATGGTCGGCGCGAACTTGGACGGTGGAAGGTAAATGTTTTTTTAATGTTTTAACGAAGTATCGATACTTTGGATTCGACGGCATTTGGAAATACCCGGACAGGGAGGACTACTTCTTCCTTTTGGGAGTAAAGTTGAGCATCGACGTGTAAGGGTTAAATGTTTAATATATCCAACTTGTGCTCGTCAGGTATTACTTCAACGCCGTTCGCGAAGGAGACAATATAGTGTTCGCCTCGGACGACGAGAACGAGTGTCAGACGTGGGTGATGGTTATGTACAGAGCGACCGGACAATCGCACAAGCCTACGCCACCAGTCTCGGTCGCTGATAAGAATTCTACCATTAGCAAGATACAGGGCGACGCTGACAGAGCGAAGAAGCACGGCATGGAGGATTACATTAGCGCGGATCCTTGCAAATTCGATCATCACGCTCTGTTCAAATTTCTACAAAACTTGATCCTGGATTACCGATTGAACGATCCGTATTGCTCCTTGGGCTGGTTCTCGCCAGGCCAGCTGTTCGTTTTGGACGAATACTGCGCCAGGTAACGTAATCTATACCAGAACGGACACGGACTCTTTAAACGGACTATTTGCTGTTTCCCTTTTCACGATCGACAGATACGGCGTGCGCGGATGCTTTCGTCATCTGTGTTACCTGAACGATCTGCTGGACAGAATCGATCGAGGATTCATGATAGATCCGACCCTGGTGCACTACAGTTTCGCCTTTTGCGCTTCCCACGTGTACGGGAACAGGACCGACAGGGTCGTATCCATCACCCACGAGGAGAAGGACAAATTTCAGGACATCAAGGAAAGACTGAGACAGATTCTCGAAAAACAAATTACCAACTTTAGGTAGTTTCTTCTTTGGAGAAAAGAAAAGAGCTCTGAACTTACTTGAACCACCGCGTTCTCGAAAATTAATCGACCAACCGCGCTCCAACAGGTACAGCTTCCCGTTCGGTCGTCCCGAGGGCACGGTGAAGGCTACGCTGTCCCTTCTGGAACGTGTGATGATGAAGGATGGAGTCAGTCCCGTCGACACGGAGGAAGTGAAAGCCCTGATCAAGAGCTGCCTGGAAACGGCAGCCTTGGTTAATTACACGAAACTCTCCGCCGAGGCGAAGATCGAGGACGATCTGAGTGGCGACGTTTGTGTTCCACCGAACAAGAAGCTCGCTGATCTCATACAGCTCGCCGAAATGTGCGTGGATCTCCTACAACAGAACGGAGAACATTATTCGGAGGTATTAGTTGGATTTCCATAACCGAGTCGATCTACTCGGGATCCTCGAGAGATACGGTCGCATGGAAAGTTTTAAGGATTCGAACGTTCTTAAAATCGGTGAAAGAAACTCGACTCGCGATGTAGACGATTCAAACGTACGTGCTTATCTGAAATCTCGTTGTCAATTACACGCTTGGAAAGTTTCTTTTACTCGAATTTCCTCGATCGATCTCTACTTGATGTTTTACTTTAACACGGTGTTTCTCGAACTTCTACTTCCCGCGGACCCCTTAGCGATACTTTTCATTGAAATTTAATTACTTTCATGCCTCTTTTCATTTATACTTATTTATTGGTTACCGAAGCAATGCACTTAGGGGTAAACACGAGGACGATCAGCGTACTTGCTCATGCTTCTCCAGCACGTGGTAATAAAACATGCTTATTAGCTTCCAAGTAAGTATCACATTGCGGACGTAAGATCTAGTTTGCTATCTTTTTTTCTTCGTTACTTTTAGCTGGTAGGTAGCTGATAGGTATCGAATAATGAATGAGAGATTTTAGCTTCGAAGCTTTTTAGTCACTTTCTCGAGTTTCACTGTACGGAGTGTTTGGCAGCAGGTGTATATTGGTTTGCAGAATCGACACCTGCTACCAAGCCCTCGTATAACACGCTTCTTTTTTTTCTGAGCTTGCGAACCCTCCCCATAGACACGATAGCGAACCTCCCCCTAGGGGTCCGCAGAGTCCAGTTCGAGAAACACTGGCCCAGCATGCCGAAGCACGCAGAGACGACCCCGGATACCAAGTAAAAATAAGAAACCCGAGATTCGGAAGCTCGAGGATTCCTTACTCGGGGTGACGGTCCCATCGCCTCGAGTTAGACGAAACGTGCCCACCGTATATGTGTGATGTCCAATATTTTCACGATCCGCTCCTACTACACTGTACCGCAGGCGTTCGCCTGGTTTAGCGATCTTATGGTGGAGCACGCCGAGATCTTCTGGTCGTTGTTCGCCGTCGACATGGACAAAGTGCTCGCGGAACAACCGCCCGATACCTGGGATAGTTTCCCTCTCTTCAAAGTGTTGAACGACTACCTCAGGGAAGACGGTACGTGGTGTTCGCCTTTTCTCTCGTTCACGTCCATTTGCTCCGTAACTTGCCTTTCGTTTCGTTTCGTCTCGTAGACAATTTGAAGAACGGTAGGTTTCACCAGCATCTACGCGACACGTTCGCGCCGTTGGTGGTGTGTTACGTGGACCTGATGGAGACGTCGATGGCCCAGTCGATCCAAAAGGGCTTCGAGAAGGAACGTTGGGAGATCAAGGGGAACGGATGCGCCACCTCGGAGGAGCTATTTTGGAAACTGGACGCCCTTCAATCGTTCATCAACGATCTTCACTGGCCGGACATGGAGTTTCGTCAACACCTGGAACAAAGGCTGACGTTAATGGCCAGCGACATGATCGAATTCTGCATCCAAAAAACGTGCACCGCTTTCCAGTCGTGGCTGAAGAAAGGTGTAACCTTCACCTCGACGGATTACATCATACCATCGGAAATGTGCGCGATGGTAAACGTTATGTTGGACGCGAAAAACCAAAGCTTCGAACTTTGCACCATCGATGGCGTCGACGTGGTAAGTTCGTTCGTTTTCGATTTCGAAGCGCGGAGGCCCAGTCCACGTCAAATGGATCGCTTTCCATACTTCGGGATTCTAATGTAACTCGAGTATGTTGTGAACCACTTGAAACGAGGAGGAGTTTAAGTCGTCGGTGTTCCGGTTTCGAATTTCTTTGCGAAATGAATTATTATCTTCAAAACTGTCCATCGTATCGAGTTTGTCTTCGTTTTGTTTTCATCGCGAAGAATCGACCTTTCGGAATAAACTTTCTTAGGCGATACGACAGTCATTTTTTCGAGGTGAACATTGTAATTACGATTCCGCTCTGTTTTTAGCACCAGTATCACGCCTCGATCGACGATCAGATAGAGAAAAAATCGGCCACTATGACCCAAGGGTTGATCAATAAGCTAGTCACGGTTCTGGAGACGACCCTGTCCAAGCTGTCCCGTTACGACGAGGGATCCCTTATAGGTTCCATCCTTAGCCTTACGGTGAGCGATCGTCCTATTGAAATGCTCCAAGGAGGATCCTATCTCTCGAGTGTTATGAAATCATTTTCAGAAAGTATCGGGGAGCGGAAAAGAAATGGGACAGGCCTACGTGAGTTTTACGAGGAACTGTATGGATCAGATTCGCGGCAAGGTGTTGGACGAACTGTGGATCTTGACGTTCTTCGAGGTAAGAAGCGGTAGCTAACATCTAAGCAACCAGGAACATCGACATTTTTCCTGTAAACTTGAGTTCTTCGAGAACCTATTTTTTCGCAGCAATGGTACACGGCGCAAATTCAGATGCTGTGCAATTGGCTATCGGAAAGGCTTGATCACAGTTTACATCTACACCAATGTACCTGTCTCGCCCACATCGTGAAGAAGATTTATTCCGACTTCGAGCTGCAGGGTGTCACGGAGGAGAAACTGAATTCGATGACATATCAGACTATATCTAAGAGGATGCAAACGGAAGAAGCGACTTGTGCCTTAACCATGAGCGCTCAGAACGAAGAGTGAGTAATCGAGCATACGTAGCACCTGGCGCGGGTTAACATCGTTCGAGGTATTCACTGGCCAGTTCTGTTTCACAGGGGGCTTTCGGAGAATGGTAACGACGACGAGGTGGAGCGGCCAAAAACAAAAGTAACCGTCGTCGAAAACGTGGATGGGGAAGACGCCACTTATGTGTCCAACATCAGCAACGTCACCTCGAACGTTGTTGGGAAAGTTGGAAGTATGTTCGGCAAGGGCATCGGTGGCCTTTCTACGAAATTCGGTGGAACCAGTTGGTTCTGATTATTATAATTACCCTTATTATTATTCTTATTATTGTTACGATTATTATGATTACGATTATTATTCTTATTATTATGATTACCGTCGTCGTCATCATCATCGTTAACATTATGATTATTGTCGTCGTCGTCGTCATCGCCATTACGATTTTTAGTATTCCACCAATAATTCTATATTCAACTAGTGCGTTCCTTTGTCTACACATATGTACATACACACACCGAGAGAGAGTTTCGATGGCGGGACTGTCCAAAGTACGGTTTGGTCATTCGTTCGCGCCACGATTCGTCGATGGAAGAATCGTCGTTCGCTACGATCGAACGAAAGAATATAAATCTTATCGCTTCGGCACAGACGCGCGTTTTCGTAACTTGTTTTCCGTCAGACCTGTGCGCGTTTCGACAAAAAAAGAAATTTCGTTTCGTTGTTCGATCACGTTCGGCCGTTCGTCCAAGAGAAACGTTGCATTTCCCTCTTTCGAATCGGCAGCTGGCGCTGGCAGCTGAAAGGAACGCGGAGACGGGCGATATTATATTTCCCCTATTGGATCGGTTATTCGGATACGTATCAATTGTTCTCGGTTGCCAATGCTACCGATTCTTACATGACGATCGAAACGAAAACTACCGCAAGCAGGAACACCGTGGTGTCGAAAGTCGCGTACAGATAGAGGAGCTGAGGCAACCGAAGAGGTACAAGCGCTCGAATTTCGGCCGCATGTTCCTTCCATTGCCTTGGCACTTCTAGGTCTGTACCAGGCTGAGGACGATGCATATTCTCGGGCGTGTAGTATCATTTCTTTCGGTAGAACTTCATCATCGACCTCGTTTACAACGAATATGAACTATAGACGGGACAGAATCAAATACCAAATGTCCTCTCGAGACCGTTAATCGCGGCAATCGTAGCTTCTAACTTATACGTCCTCTTTTGCCTCTCTGTTCGATGAAACGAATGCGCAATGTCGGGAGTATCGTGCAGCCAGAGTTGAGCGAAGTTTTATTAATCTTCTATTTAACAAATTTTTAATTTGTATTATATCTTAAATGTCACGAATATTTCAATTCGAGTCTAGAGTTTGAGAAAAATAAAAAGGGATTTGAAATGATCGCGATATGTATCGTTTATTGTTACTTTGCTTATTTTACGTATTAAATAATGCTGAACTCTGCGAGCAGCCAATATCTCGACTATAGTAAGCGCGCGTGTTTATCGAATAAAGTAGCTTAGATCGCTTAAAATTAGTATTTCCAACGATTCGATACAATCGTTGCTGTTGGACGAACATTCGAGTTCAGCGTTTGTGCCATATCAACCGAAACTACGCCTCTAAGGCTTGTTAAGGGCATTCTACAAGAGCCTTTCTCGTTGAACCTCATCGTGTCTACGATATATCTATTACTATTTACTCCCCCACCCTCTCTACTTGTCTCTACTCGTGTACCTGTTTCAGTCCCTGCCCAACGGCAACCCTTTACTCCTATCCGTATCCATATCTGTATCTTGAAAACGTACGACGTTGTTTACTAATCGAATTCGTCGCATAATTGCGAGCGTACCTTTTTCTAGACTCCCGCGACGAAGGCTCGTCGAAGAAAATTACGCCAGTTTCGTCTCGTTTCGTGCCGCTGCTCCGATAAATCTTGATTACGAGAAATGTAAAGATGCGATGGGTCCGATTCGCGACACGAAGCGAAGCTAAACGTAACGAAACGCAAAGATGATCTGAATTTCAGTTCAAACCAGGGGTAGGAAAACCAACCTCAGCTTGGTCGAGCAGAGTAGAATCGAATTTCGTGAAATAGAAAAATATTTTACAATTAATAAAATACAAATTGATTAGCAAAGTCAATGAAAGTTGAACATATCCTTTCATCGAAGACGAGGAAACTTCGTTTAATAATGGCGAATATCCGTGAATCGAGAACTCGGGACTCGACCTATGTTTTCCTTTGCGTTTTGTCCAAGGACCAAACAAGAAAAAGGACGACACGCCAACTACGATACACTCGATATAAGACCGATCGACTCTTTAACATTGAAAATAACGATGTAATTTATAAGTTGACCCATAACTGACAAAGTCCGCGGAAGGACCGCAGGTTCCCCCATCCCTGGTTCGATCTATCGATCAAGCGAGACCGTCAGATTTCTTGTCTACCTCAGATTCCCTAACGAATAATTTCGTTGCTACAGAAAGCTTTTGCTAACACGGGGAGAAAAAAAGCGAAACGTCTCGAACCGCTGAACGAACGAACGAACAAACGAAACGCCAAAAAAAAAAAAAAAAAAAAAGTGTAAAAAGATCTCGGCCCGTCTTCCGATCGACGCGTGTTTTGACATTTTACTAGGCATGAAACAGATATGCATTTTATCGTCTTGTTCTTGTTCGGCGCGCGAGGCGGCACGTGCTTGTCGTTTCTAAAGGTTAATAAAGACGCGCAACATTTGCGCGAATATTCTTTCGTTAGTAAGGCGAGAGGAGATGCGTGCTGCATTCGGAAACAGTTACCAGTAGCAGTTTGTTTGTACATAACTTTAGTAAGAAAAAAAAAAAAAAAAATGGTACGAGGAGGAGATTTTTATATCGTGTATATTAGCACGTTGAAACGAGTCCCGTCTCGTAATGTGTCCAATTGTATGTACGATGCGCAATACGACGTGTCAACGAGCAGTTGCAAACACTCTTCTGTTCGACTTGTGGACAAAAATTTCTTAGTTTATCCTCGACAGAAATTCTTTGCGCGTGCACGCGCGTATAATTAAACGGATATAAATAGCGGAAGTTACGATTCGTTCTTTCATATCAGAGATGCCTTCCGTGTTTCCGTGAAAGGATACACGTAGAACGTTGAACGAGCGAGAGCGAGGCGTGCGCCAGGCGCAATAGCAATACGAGCGTATCGATGGTTCAACGACGGGATGGTATAGCTACGAGCGCAACTTTGAAAATTTGCGAAAAGAAATGTGCATTGATCGATGAATCAATTAAATACAACAAAGATTAAGCAGCGTAGTTTAAAGTGAATCCTGTTCACTCAAGAAATTTCAAGAAAATGTGAATATATAAACAATCAGGAAATGTTACTCTTTTTCCTCGAAAGGTAAAATAAAATTCGCGCGACAGAGGATTGGCTACGCCCTCTCGACGCTGAACCACCGATACGATGCTTCCTGTTCGATGGAATTCGAAAACACAAACGGAAACATATAAAAAAAAAAAAAAAAAAAAAAAAAAAAAAAAAAAAAAAAAAAAAAA